ATGGGATTGTATGGGATTTCCCTTTTGTATCAGAAGATATTAAATGAATGTTTACAGTAACCTCCTAAAAGCAGAATTGCATTTTGGGATGGTTCAATGATACTAAATAACAATAAATAAGGTAACTGACTTTATGAAAATGCAGAATGTATTTCAGAGAAGAAGGAAATTCAAAACCTAAACATGTCCAGGTTATTATCATATAATCTTTATCGTAGAATAATCATAAAGCACTAACTACACAGTAAATCCTCACAATTTAGACACTGGAACCAGTAGATGTTTGATATATTTGTTTAAAAAAAAATATTGCTGATCAACTAATTCATTAATTGACTTATTCTCAATTATCAGCGTTAATTCCAACATCAGCTCCTTTGGATAAAATACCAAGGAGGAGGTAAGTGAAAACAGAGGCCACGTACAGTTTCTGTGTTGGGTGCTCATCTGGTCGGAGAAGCCCCAGCTCATTGACCTCGTAGGTTTTGCCAAGATGAGTTGACACGATCTTATCGCCCTTTCCGACCTGACCTCCGAACACAGCGATGTTAGCCACCACACCTCTGTAGTGGTCGAAATTGGAGTCAAACACTAAGGCTTTGAATGGATTGTTAGTGCTCGCCACGGGCCTGAGAATAAACATTGACAGAACAAAACAGCTTCAGTTTTTTTCTTTACGTCAATGATGTTTGATTTGAGAAGTGATAGCACCTGAGTCTGCTTACGGTGGAATCCTGTTCACAACTGCTTGCAGAACCATTTCAACATTTGTTCCGAGTTTAGCAGAGATCTTAATAAAAGATGAAAATATAAAATAAGACACGTTTCTCAAAATAGCTTCTGTGGAACACAACAATTTGATTTTCATTATGGTCCATCTCACCCGAATGCACTCCTCACGTGGGATATCAAACACCTTTTCAATCTGTGACTCCACTCTCTCTGGATCAGCATTTTTCAAATCAATCTGAGACAGAAAATGTCAGAGCAGAATTATCCAACACACAGAGTCAAGTGACAAAGTAACGTGATTAAACCAAACACTGGTTGGACTGTACGTACCTTGTTGATGACAGGGATGATTGTCAGCTGAGCTTCAAATGCTAGGTAGAAGTTAGCCATCGTCTGTGCTTGAATCCCCTTCACATGACAATAACACATTAACAACTACAGCACATACAGTGAGTACAACCACAATAATTAATTCAAAACATCCAGTTGTGTACCTGATTGGCATCGACAATTAGCAGGACACCTTGACACGCAGAGATCGATCGAGATACTTCATAACTGAAGTCGACGTGACCCTGGAGAGAGAGTAAACGAGTTAACGGTCAACGAGATATAGGTGAGCAACATGTAAACAAATTCAAATTCATATCTGAAGATACCAAACACAGAGCAAGTTTCTGAATGTATTTGTTTGCTTTGCAGAGGACAGTTAAGGTAAATGAAAATGATGGACATGAGCTGAAGTCATGCAATGTGCACTTTTTTCATAATATAACTAAAATAAATAA